TGTGGACCTTTACTTTATTGTTTTAGTTTAAAACTAGGGATCTCTAATAATGTTTAGATTCGTGTCACTTTGAGATCATCCATTATAGTTACACAAAAATGTAGAAGTATACAACGTGGGTACCTGAAATAATTTGATAACGATCCTCCAAAAATATTTAAACATAAATATGACAATCAAATTTATTGTGATAAATGTGTTGTTTTGGTTTCGTCTTTATACACCGTCGTGTGTACTCATTTATTGCAGAAAACCCTTTTTGTATCTATCCCTTTTAACACATTTGTTGTTTTTGATGTTGCATTTGGTTTTAGTGGCATCGATGTTGATGAAGTAACCGTTTCAACTTGTTTGACCATTTCTGCCATCAAATTATATACGCTATTATTTAAAATGATACACTATGCCTGTGTCAGGCATCTTTATTCACCCTGGCAATCATTATTAATTAACCTTTTTGCATGGGATATTATGATAAATATTTGGAAAACTGACAACGCGTTAAATGGAACATAACTAAAATATTTTCTTTCTCTTTTTATTTAGTCAATATGCTATGTTGTAAAACAGGACTGTGTAAAGAACTGCATAACTAGTCATTACTTACTGTAAAACTGTTCACGGTAAAGCTAGAATAATGTTTTACTTCATCCGTCTATCCGCTTTAAACGGTAAAAGCTTGTCAAAAAGTCCTGATAAATTGACACATATTCAGGGTCACATATGTTGAAACGAGATTTTAAAGTTATCACCAGTATATGAGTTACATTCATCTTTCAAAATACAAGGCGGTCAACTGCTGACGGAAGGCACAGAAATCGTTTTTGAGTAGTGACATGGCGCATAATATACACACGTTCCTTACCATAAAATTAAGAAGTCCGTTTTGCGAAATAAATTAATGAAGAGTTTATCTCCCTTCTGTTTCAACAATAAATAATAATAATAATAATCTTTATTTAACGTCGTGTACAATTGTCAACAACAAACATAAGCTCTGTAGAGCTTTTATTACGACGCCGCTAAGGGAACAAATGGTGTTTTTCGTGGTGGAGGAAAACCCACGGGGGGAAAATCATCGTGCCATCGGAGGGATTACAACTAACCCTATCAGACATCACTCTCTTTTTTCCAGCACCGCTGGGGATCGAACCGAAATTCTTGGGAGAGCGAGTGGTCTGAAGCTCACGCTTGATAGCACACAGTAGTACAATCACTGTGCGCGTTAACGATCACGGCTAACGTGTAGTTTAGACTAAATGAGTTTTACAACTCTTTGGCCAACAGCATTACCGAAGAGTCCGTTACGGACGAAACAGCTGTAGGATGCAGTATAATGTTGGCGTACAGCGTGTCTAAAACAAAGTTTAAAGATGCGTTCACGTCTGTGACTGTTAAAAACAAATTCGACTGCATTTGGTTCTGTGTGGGATGAAATGCTAATTTCAGTACCAGGCGTAATTTTACAGCTCCTGTAAATTTGTAACTCCCTCAGAACAAAGTCGCGGGTGACATGACGTTATGTTCCTACGAAACATTAATCTTTTGGCATCGTTCTACCTACATGTACTACATTTCTGAGCACAAACTTTATAACCTTGTCAAGTATCAAAATCTTTTGAAGGAATCTGTTTTAGCAACTTTCCAAAAATAAATTAAAAACTTAATGTTTATAAAAGAAAATACGCAAAAATGAATATAATGCATAGCAAGATTTTGGTTTGGGTTGATTATATTTTGTTTGACGATGTATTTAAAGGTAAGGTCATTTCATCATGACATTTTCCAAATATTGTCTCTATTTTCTAAGCTGAGTCTATTACAATTAATCAGGTTTCGGATCAAAGTGATAGTGATAAATCAAAACAGTAATGTCTTCTTTCAGAACAGTATTTGTTGTATTTACTAACAGGATTTAAATAGTCTTTCACATAAAATATCTTGATTATACCTTTTTCAGGTTCATGTGTATTAATAAAAGGCAGTGTCGTGATTACACTACAAATGTTTACAATTTGCGAATAGAATCAATATAATTTTTATGCCAGTGACAAACTATTTACAGTCGAACAATTTATGATAAAGTGCGCATTTCTTAACATAGACGTGACACATTCTGTAATGACCCATCTATGAAAAATGTGTTTGATTCAGTTCCTTTGTCATTAATATTAGATGGACTGAACGTTCAAAGAAAGATTGATCATTTAGGGTTGCATTGCTTTATAACGCCACGTGAATATACACACAAACATGAATGAATGTATAGTTGGTTTTATCAATGAATGAACGTTACTAAACTCGACGCGTCGTCATATATACATAGGGGTACATCCGTTTATAATCCTCGTGGAGCTACAGTATTTTGTTCGAAAATATAAAACATATTTTTTTAGGGAATAAAGAATCTTTTCTTAAAACACACTGTCTTTTAAGCGGATGTTTAGATTAGATGCCGACTTTATAGTGCTATCTCACTAAAATACCATGCCGAAGGCAGCCTACACAGCATTCCGCCCGGTCACATTATACTGACAACGGGCGAACCAGCTTTTGCCATTCCTCTTAATGCTGAACGTTAAGCAGGTAATATCAACTACCATTTTTAAGGACTTTGGTATGTCCCTGCCTGGGGACAGAACCCATTGCCTTCCTCACCTGGGCGAACGCTCAACTGTTAGTGCATCCGTCATGGTTTGCGGGGGTGTTGGATTGGAATTCCTGGTTTGGTTTAGTATTGTTTAACGTCCTAACAACAGCTACGGTCATTTAAGGACGGCCCCCTTTGTGCAAGATGCATGCGTGTAGTGTATGCGTGTGTGTTTTGGGAGGCTGTGATATGTATGTGTTTGTCTGCTAGTGATAGCGCGGAACTGATGCCGACTTTATAGTCCTACCTCACTGAAACATTCTGCCGGAGACACCCAGCAGGACAGCCCACGCGGTCACATTATACTGACAACGGGCGAATCAGTCATCCCACTCCTAAATTGCTGAGCGTTAAGCAGGAGTAGAAACTACCATTTTGTACAGACTCTGGTATATCTCGGCAAGGGGACAGAACCTAAAGCCTTCCTCACAGAGGCGAACGCTTAACTAAAGGCCAAAAGTGAGTCATTATCAAGTGATACTTTAGGAAGAAGAAAGTTGTTTAGAAAGAAGAGAAAAGATAAGATCCCAAATTTAGTCGCCTCTTACGATCATACAATGGAAGCAGCAGGTACAATTATTATACCCGACCTGCAGTGACATATAAGTAGCTTGGATGCAAGGCTTTGAATGTTTCTCAAATAAACCACCTTACACACATATTTAAAATTATCTACATCAGACCTGCGCTATTGCAAGGGTCAAATATATCAACATCCCCTTTCCTCTAGCACAAATACGCCATCATTACACATGAAGGTACGTCCTTAAACAACATTACCTGTTAATAGAACGTTAATCAAAACCCCCCAAAAAATCTTCCAGATTTTAGAACGCCGTTAGCCCTGAGGAAGACTTTGGAATTTGGACTTGATGACTTCTACTCAAGTTCAAGAACGTATTCGTTCATGATACTTGACCACTAGGTAACTTAACGTGCTAAAATAGAAGACAGTAGCTTTTGCGCAAAGACCTTTAGGCCTTCAATGTATATAGTTTTAGTTTGATATATATTCGTGTTGCGAATGTCTATTTTACGTTACTATAAGGAGTAGGCTGAAGTTCAACGCAATCAAATGGCAAGTATTTTACTGTCAATGGTTCTTGTCATAATATGATGAAGGTGTCTGATACGGTCAAAGACCAACCTCCGGCAAAGCCAGAAGCCACGGAGGAATATCGATCGTTGCAAATGATTAGCTTGAACGGTATTTTGTCGACTGGATAACGCTTTTAGCAATAAAGGGTATCTGGAATCCCCAACAATTGCTAATGAATAGTTGTTTCGCTTTTTCTCACTCAATGCAGGATTCTTTACCGCGTGCAAGCCGTGACAATGCAACAATCATGTTTCAGCTTGACCACTTATAACATTGTTGTTAATTTCCATATAGCAATGTTTCAGGTTTAGAGCATTCCTAGATATTATGCTATTCACCAATTCCTATTTTCTCTTCATCTCAAAAGACGAACTAAAAGGCACAAGGAAACAGGTTTTTCCTTCAGCTAATGTATGCGCATTTCGTCTATGATAAACGGACCAGGGTCTTGTGTTAAGTCAAATAATTCTAACTGGATTCATAGTTTTTGACCAGAACTTATATCAGGTTTCAAGTTCCCTTTTCGCATGTGATATACGTTTTCTAAAACAGAACAGGAATTAATTTAATTTTTCTGAATTGAAAAAAAATATTATCTTTGTTGATCCAAGTTAACTAGGATCTGTTGCAAAGATGTTTTACACGAAAATAAGAACAAGCAACAAACGTCATGCCTTCGTCGGAACCCGATGCAATATTGGATAGTTACTTTCGTGTCGTCTTCATTTGGATACGAAAGCAACCAAGCTATGCACTCATTACAAAATTCTGGACACGTGTTTTTTTTAATTTTGTTTCACTGTTTTCCGGTTCCTAATGTCCTACTTCCTAAATACCTCAGTATTGGCCTTTATGTAGAGTTGGCCTGTGAACAAGGGAAGAATGGATCATCAGTGCAAAAGATACAAAGAGGTCCTGCCTAAGTTGACTTTCACGGTAAAAAGCAATGGAATACAACAAACATTTCCCCTCAGCTTGCAGGTGAATTTTACCTAGAACAGGTTGTTTTCTAAATATCTAATACGGCGCAGAATGTTGTCAAAGAAGTTTTATCGCTAAAATAATAAATAAATAATAAATTCAAGTAGGCAAACATATTTATATATAATGATACATCTTTATAATATTTCAGATATTGTTCTGTCTTCTCACAGAGATTTAATGTCTTTATCGATTAGATTCACCTTCTCTTGTTGTATATAGATTTATCGACTACTTGGGGCTCCTCGTGGTCTGACTGGGAAAAACAAGTATGGCAGCGCCCTACATGTAGGCATGCTACATATTCTTATTTACAACCTTTTGGTTAAACTGTGCTAGTTCACACTTTGTATTTCTTCAAATTATAATGACGCTTAGTTTATTATTTGCAGTAACAATTTATGTAATTTCTGCATAATCAAGGTAGAAATAGAGATAATATAAGTCGCCATAATTGGCATAGCCTAACTTAGCTAGAAGTGTTGAATAATTCATCATACATATACATTTACCTTTCCAGTTCTCGGTGAGGACTTTAGGACTATTTGTTTTGTATTTTCTAGATAAGCCCTTATGCTACAGAATGGTTTACCTGGTTTCTTGTTAGTTATTTACATAGTATCGTATATGTTTATCAGATAGAAGCTTTTGGAAGATGAATATGATGATTTCGATAAGATGGGATGTTCGGTGATATGTGAATCGGGTAGATTCATGTACAGAAATTCTATGCGATATAATTATATAATTACAGTGTAGGCTTTCTTGATATGTGTACATGTTTATACAGAGATAGAAGACTGTTTGGTAAGATTTGTTTATGATTTGTTGTAGCATTTCACCGCTTCATGTCCATGTGGGGTCTGTACCAGACAACATTAACTGCTTTTGTCATCTGTACCAGATACATGTTGATTTTCGGAATAAATGGACAAATTGGTGACACTATCTGTGATTGTGGTTCATATGTCAATCGTGCGACAGAATAGTGAAATGAAAGTACACAGCTAGCCATGGCAGAGGAACAGGAGCATTTGGATACCGCGAGGATAAGAACCCTCTCGATTAAGGCCGATGAGAATTATTTGGTAGCCTGTGAGAGGTACATTAAGAAAATAGACTCCATATGCTGTAAGTTGAAAAACACTGTGGCTGAACTTAGTACTGTTGAAACAAGTGATAAAACACAAGTCCAAGAATGGAGAGTGAAACTTTGTGCAATAAGAAAAGAATATGAAATTCTGTCCTATGAATATCTGGGCTTTTTACAGAGAACACACACTGAAAATAGTTTATGTAAATACAATGAACATAAAAACAACATGACATCCATGAATGAGACTGTAAAAGACGCCATGGACTCAATTAGGGACATTCCTACTTCAAAGGATCCAGTTTCTGAGGAAATTGACAATTCTGTGAAAGTAAGGAAGAGTAGTGTTAGCTCTCATAGTGTTACTACAAGCGGAAAATCCAAAACCAGTATAGCAACACAGAAACGTGCTAAAGCTGAGGCAGCACGAGCTAGCTTAGAGATTGCTAAAAAGGAGGTCCTTCTAAGGAAACAGATGGCAGCTCTTGAGGAGGAGGGTAGATTGGCCGAAGCTAAGAAGGACAGAATTAAGGCCGAGTACAATGCTGACCTTACATTGCTGGCCGAGGAAAAGGAAGTGGCTGCGGCAGATGCTGAGGCTTCATATTTAGAGTCAGAGTCTGGCAGTGTCAGATCTAGAGGTTCTTTTATCTTGCATCATTCAATACCTACACGTATCTCTAACACAGAAGAAATGACGAGACAGTATGTGGCTAGTCTACCAGATTGGAATGTGCAGGATAAAGGTAATTTACATGTATCACAGACTGAAGGTGAAATATACACAAACATTCAGAACATTACGCATACTGTCCCCATGGATACACAGATGCAGCAGTCAGTGGTATTGGCACCTAAAGCACCACCCTTCATACCTCATAGAGCTAGCAAAGATTGTTCAGTGAAACCAGACACTGAAGCTTTAACATCTTTCCTGTTGAAGAAAGAGCTGTTGCTACAGCGACTCTACAAGTTTGATGATGAGCCTCCATCTTTTGTTGTATGGAAGGCTAGCTTTAATAGTGTTACACAAGAACTTAAGGTGAACTCATTTGTGCAGTTAGACTTGTTGGTGAAGTATCTTGGAAAGGAATCTTCCTTATATGCCCAGAGTTTACGCACGTCTAATGCCAGAAATCCTGAACGTGCTGTGAGGTTAATATGGGAGCGTTTAGAGGAAAGATATGGGTGCCCTGAGATGATTGAGTTTGCTCTTAAGTCAAAACTGGAAAAGTTCCCTGTGTTGTCAAACGAGGACAATAAGAAACTATATGAGCTCAGCGACGTACTGGATGAGGTTCTGTCAGCGAAGGAAGATCCTAGGTTCGCTGTACAGTTCGCTGTGTTTGACTCATCACGTGGGGTGAATAGTATTGTTGCGAAATTACCTTACAACATTCAACAGAAATGGGTGACACATGCATCTAGATACAAGAAACAGAGGAATATTCCTTATCCATCTTTCTCTGTATTTGTTGAGTTCATTCACGACGTCTGCAAAATAAGAAATGACCCAGCATTCAATTGGAAGCCGTACCTGTACCTAATCAGAAGAAGGAGAAATCTGCTCCCCAGCGTAAAAATGACAAAGTGTTTGTGGTCAACCGGAAAACTGGTGTTCAGGAGGAACAGACAGAGACCAACAAAGACAACAGGATGAGATGTGTGATCCATAATGCAGGCTATCCCTTGATGGAATGTAAAGAGTTCAGGTCTAAAACTTGGGAACAACGGCGTGCTCTGTTGATGAGTAAAGGAGTTTGTTACAAGTGCTTGGCGTCGACAGAACATATGTCTCCTAAGTGTCCTTTAGATGTAACATGTGATAAATGTGGACGCAAAAATCATTTGACTCTCATGCATCGAGAAGAACCTATGAAATATCATGGCGGGGAGTCAAAGGGCGAACCGGAGATACATGTGGCCGCCAAACGTACTGCGATACATGGAAAGGAGTTTAGAGGTCAATCATGCGGAAAAACTTTTCTTGTAGATGTGATGTCATCTAGTCGTCCTGCTGAGAAGTTCAGAGTGTATGCATTAATAGATGACCAGAGTAATCGTTCACTGGTAACTCCAGAACTTTGTGAGATGATGGGAATACGCGGTGAAACTATGACGTATACCCTGTCCTCATGCTCGGGTCGAACAACAATGGTTGGACAACGTATAGATGGGTTATCTGTTCAATCAGTTGGAACAGCAGAAAGACTTGACCTGCCAGAGTTAATAGAGTGTAACTACATTCCGCAGGATTTGAGTGAGGTTGCAACTCCAGAGATAGCAAGTAACTACCCTCATCTGAAGGAAGTAGCTCCTATGCTACACTCGTTAAATGCAAATTGTGGAATTCATCTCCTGATTGGACGTGACGTGCCAGAAGCACATCATGTGAAGCGTCAGATTATTGGACCTAAGCATCTACCATTTGCATTGGAACTTCCCTTAGGTTGGGTGATTATTGGAAAAGTGTGCCTCGGCAGGTTTCATCAACCAGATGTTGTACATGCCTATAAGACGAACGTGGACGTTGATGGAAGAGGCACTGTGATGGATTTGTGCAGGAACATGTGCACTATTTTTGAACATAAGGACAGTAGTAGTCTGAGTTCTGATATATTCCATAAGACACCTGACGACAATAAGGTGGGCTTATCTACGGATGATCGTCAGTTTGTGCAGATTATGGAATCAGAATTAACTAAGGACTCCTCAGGACAGTGGATGACACCACTACCATTTAAGGAGCCTAGAGAAGTACTACCTTACAACAGAGCGCAGGCATATAAAAGAGCGAAAATATTGGATAAGAGCTTACAACAAAACTCTGTGAAACGGCAACATATGGTTGAGTTCATGGACAAAGTGTTTCGGAATGGAGCTGCAGAGGTGGCCACAGACAAGGAGAAGTGGAACTTACCTCTCTTCGGTGTTTACCACCCGAGGAAGCCAGGTCAGATTCGAGGAGTTTTTGACTCGTCCTTGAAAGTCCTTGAATGATATGTTGCTGTCCGGCCCTAACTTGACTAACATTATTGTTGGTGTACTGTTACGCTTTAGAGGTGATGCATTTGCTGTGAGTGCTGACATCGAACAAATGTTCTATCGGTTTCTTGTGACACCAGATCACAGGCGATTCCTGCGTTTCTTCTGGTATAAGGAGAACAATCCTATTTTTCCTCTCATGGAGTATCAGATGAGAGTTCATGTTTTTGGCAATCGGCCTTCACCTGCTGTTGCAACATACGGGCTACGCCATACAGTGCAAAAGGCAGACAAAGATGTTCGACAACATGTACACAGAGACTTTTATGTAGACGATGCCTTTAGTTCTCTCCCCACAAGGGAACAAGCTGTCAGTCTTCTCTCCAGGACACAGGAGATTTTGAAGGAAGAGGGAGCCATCAGACTACATAAGATTGCCTCTAATGACGTCCGGATCATGAATGAGTTCCCTAAGGAGGATCTTAGTAAAGACCTAAAGAATCTGGATCTTGATTCAGATAGCTTACCTCAACAGTTGAGTCTCGGATTGACGTGGGATCTGCACTCGGACGTGTTCCAGTTTTCTGCTCCAGATGTACGAAAACCTTTCTCTAAAAGGGGATTGCTATCAGCAATGAACTCGGTATATGATCCCTTAGGTTTCTTGGCACCGTTCTCGGTCAGCGGAGAGATGCTTCTCAGAGAAGTATGTTCAGATGGATCAAGTTGGGATGACGAACTTCCTATAAAGTTTTTGGAGCAATGGAACGCTTGGAATGATGCTCTCCATCAGTTGGATGGTTACCAGGTTCCAAGGATGTTCATCAAGTCATCACTCAGTTTGTTACAGAATCCAAGGGTATACATCTATTCAGATGCCTCTGAAAAAAGTGTAGCTGCTGTTGCCTATCTTGTATCAACCGATACTCCCAATGACAAGGACATTGGCTTTATTATGGGTAAGGCTAAGGTAGCACCCAAGAATGGACACAGTATTCCAAGACTAGAACTCTGTGGAGCAGTGCTTGGCGTAGAGCTAGCACAGTGCATAGCAGAACATTTGGACATTCCACCTTCTGCATTTCGGTATTTCACAGACAGTAAGGTGGTACTGGGATATATTCATAACAGGACACGAGGATTCTACACCTACGTAAGTAACAGAGTAGCTCTTATTCATGACTTTTCTGAACCGGACCAGTGGAATTATGTTCATACTGATAGTAATCCTGCAGATACTGCGACCAGATCTTCGCTACATAATGTAAAGTCTGCTATTGTAAAGTGGCTCTCTGGACCAGCGTACAAATTACTCGAGGACAAGGGAGATAAGGGGGTCTTCAGTCTTCACAACCCTGAAACAGATGAGGAAGTTCGACCTGAAGTTTCAGTAAAGTTCACGTCTGTCGAGTCATCTACTCGACCAGATTCTGCCTTGTTTGAGACATTTTCGTCTTGGAAAATACTGGTTGCTACTAATGCTATCTTGATTCATGTTGCCAGAACGTTCAAGAAAGAAACCAAGTGTGGACATACGTCCTGGCATGTTTGTGAGGTAAGTACCTCACCGGAGCTGATTAAAGCCGCAGAATCTCTTCTCATAGGAGCTGTTCAGAAGAAATTCTATTCAGAGGAGATTCGTGCGCTTGAATGTGGGAAACAGGTTCCCAATGACAGCACTATACTCTCGCTGTCCCCTTATTTGGATGAAAAGGCACTACTTAGAGTAGGAGGCCGTATGAACAAATTGAGAATCAAGGTTCAACTAGAGTCGGTCAACCCTATAATCATATCTAAGTGTCACATCGCGAAGTTGCTCGTACGCCATTATCATGGGCAAGTTTTTCACCAAGGACGACACTTTACAGAAGGTTCGTTGCGTTCAAACGGATTTTGGCTTATTGGAGCCAAGAGACTTGTGTCATCTGTGATAGGTCAGTGTGTTGTATGTCGGAAACTTCGGGGTAAATTGATGCATCAAAAGATGGCAGATCTACCTGAAGAGAGGTTAACTCCTGGACCTCCATTCACCACAGTTGGATTTGACGTTTTTGGACCGTGGGAAGTTGTGACTCGCAAAACACGTGGAGGTGCAGCAAATAGTAAGAGGTGGGCTGTTATGTTTACATGCATGACTAATCGTGCAACACACATTGAGGTAATTGAGGACATGAGTGCGTCGTGCTTCATCAATGCGCTCAGTCGTTTGATTGCTATCAGAGGACCTGTAAAGACTTTGTGGTCTGACAGAGGAACCCATTTTGTAGGTGCTGCATCGCTAATCAAAGCACATGTGATTCATATTGAGAGTCCGCCTGTCCAGACTTGTCTGAAGAATTTAGGGATTGTGTGGCGCTTCAACTCTCCGCATTCATCCCATATGGGAGGAGTTTGGGAATGACCCATTGGGGTAGCTAGAAGAATCTTGGAGAGTATGCTGGCAAACTGTACCTTCAAGGAACTCACTCATGAAGTACTTTGTACTTTTATGTATGAGGTTGCTGCAGTGATGAACTCAAAACCTTTGGTTGCTGTAGACAGCGATGCTCAGGACCCACTTGTGCTCTTACCTAGTATCCTCTTAACCCAGAAGCAAGGAGATTCTTCGTCTGCGCTAGCTAAGGATTTGAGCTTAAAGGAAATGTATACGGCCCGATGGAAGCAAGTACAAATTCTATCGGACATGTTTTGGAAACGTTGGAGAGGAAAAGGCGGACCACGTGGTCGCCCCATCCCATGATAATGGTAATGGTTTGAGGGATTTATCCAATGTTTGGGGGGCAGTATCAAATGATAATATTAATATTTCACCACCGGTGCAATACCCTCCCCTCCCGACACCAATATGTCTACAATCGCAACCCCCCTCCCCCAGTTATATTCGGTGGGGCTACGACAGGTTTACCGCGTCGTTACCAGACATGATATCGTGTGTGAATGACAATGTGGCCGCACACGTACCAGTGCAGTTGAAATAAAAAATCTGGTCCAACCAGTATGTTAATCTTGCACTGTTACTGAAAGGTAGTGCGGAATTGCAGAAATTTTACGCTGGAAATAGTTTATTTATTTATGAGCTTTGGGCACTGGAGTCAAAACCAAAGATTTTAAAGGACCGTATCCCCAATATAGAAAAATGGTCGGACGCCGTTTTGATTTGTATGCATATTTACTTGCGCCAATTCACAGAGAAAACTTTGGAGTTAATTCAATACATGACCATCATACGCGACGCAGCCAGTAGGTGTCAAGGTGTCGGTTGGCGTATATATGATCAGCAATTTTGCCTGCGTCAAGACAATTTGTATTCAATCTTGGTCAAAGCTGAATGCCGACTTGTGGCTGAGGGTGATGACGGTGCCTCGTAATAACAGTGGGGTCAGTCACACTCCAGTTCAGCAAACAAGTGGTGGTTACGTAAAACCAGGTATTTTTAAAGCATACAATAATAACAAATGCCAATATGTTCCATGCAGGTTCAAGCATTTATGTAACAAATGTAATTGGGGGGCACTCACAGCTTAACTGTAATTCTTTTCGGGGAAAAAACTGCACAGGACAAAAAATGGGTGACAAAGGCAGTAAGTGCGGAAGGGTACAGCCTGGAAGTAACGCCGGTAAATAGTAATAATCTGGCTGCGTTACTTAAAGATCATCCGAATTCTGCTTTGGCATCTGAATTAGTGAATGGGTTTAAGAATGGTTTTCAAATACATTATGCTGGCCCACGCGAGCCAGCCAAAGCGAGAAATTTTAAATCTGTAAATTGTAATGAAGATATTGCCAGAAAAAATGTTCAAAAGGAAATACAGTTGGGTAGGTTGAAGGCCCATTTGAGACAAGGCCAATATCTACTTTGAAGGTATCCCCATTAGGTCTAGTTCCCAAGAAAAATGCTGGTGATTTTAGATTAATCCACCATTTGTTTGTTTGTTTGTTTGTTTGATTTTGTTTAACGTCCTATTAACAGCTAAGGTCATTTAAGGACGGCCTCCCCTGTGTGCAAGATGCATGCGTGTAGTGTATGTGTGTGTATTTTGGGAGGCTGCGATATGTTCGTGTTTGTCTCCTTGTGATAGCGCGGAACTGATGCCGACTTTATAGTGCTACCTCACTGAAACATACTGCCGAAGACACCCAGCAGGACGCCCCACCCGGTCACATTATACTGACAACGGGCGAACCAGTCGTCCCACTCCTAATTTGCTGAGCGTTAAGCAGGAGTAGAAACTACCATTTTTAAAGACTTTGGTATGTCTCGGCCAGGGGACAGAACCCAAAGCCTTCCTCACAGGGGCGAACGCTCAACAAATGGCCAAAAGTGAGGCATTGTCAAGGGAGACATTAGGAAGAAGAAAGTTATTTAGAAAGGAGAGAAGAGATAAGGTCCCAAATTTAGTCGCCTCTTACGATCATGCAATTGGGGGCAGCAGGTACAATTCTTCATACCCTGAGGATACATCAGTGAATGTTTTCATTGACCCAAAATTATGTTCTGTATCTTAAACAAAATTTGACAAAGCCGTTCAAATGGTGCACAGGTTGGGCAAAGGGGCATTACTCGCAAAGGCTGATAACAAGTCTGCATTCAGAATAATTACTGTATGGCCAGAGATTATGACCTTCTAGGTTTTAAACTAGACAATTTTTATTTTTTCGACAAATGTTTACCGATGGGCTGTTCAATTTCCTTATCAATTTTTTTCAACAGTAATCGAACAAGCTGTACGTAAGCGTTCAAAGGCAGGTGAAGTACTTCACTACTTAGATGACTTTTTGTTTGGTGGGGTAAAAAAAACCGCTAATCAATGTTACAGAGCCTTGTCGGAATTCGAGTAATTATGTGGTGAGGTTTGTGTGCCCATTGCACCAGAGAAAACCATGCACAGTTTTATGTTTCTTGGTCTTGAAATAGATACAATAAATATGTGTATTCGAGTTCCCATTGGCAAAGTTCAAGAAATAGTTCAAAAATATTGGCCATGCTTAAGAAAAGCAGTACAACGTTGAAACAATTGCAGTCACTTTTGGGGTCATTGGATTTTGCTTGTAGAGCCATACCCCCGGGAAGAGCATTTTGTAGACGCCTAATCAATGCTGCTATTGGTACAGCTAAACCTCACCATCATATGAGAATAACACATGCAATGCGTGAAGATCTAAAACTATGGTTAAAACTTGTCCATTCGTTTAATGGAGTATCTGTATTTTGTGATCAATTCTGGATTAAAAATGCGGATTTACAGCTTTTTACTGATAGCTCGGCCAAGAAGGGTAATGGATTTTGACGGGAGGTAGTTATTTGACACCTGGCCTGAATTTTGGTTTGAAAAGGGATACACCAAGGATATTACAGCGCTGGACTTTTCCCAATACTGGTAGCAGTATACATGTGGGATGACTCCTTAAGAAACAAAAAGGTGTTATTTAGATGTGATCACCAATTTGTTCTCGCCATTATTAACTCGATGACAACCAAATCTGTCACCGTCGTGGCCTTGCTACGAGATTTTGTGTTGCGCTGCTTGCAATTACAAATTTTGTTTAAGGCAGAGCATATTCCAGGCTGTGTAAATGTTTTAACAGATAGCTTATCCCGTTTACAGTTAAACAAAGTCCGGGAGTTGGCCCCAGAGGCTCGCCGAAGTGGCTCTGGTCTATTTTCAGCCTGAGCTTGGACGACTGTTAGCTGCTAGTATGTCGGAGATAGCGAAATCATTGTACTCTAGTGCTTTAAATAATTTTTACAATACACGATATAGGCTAAAGCTTGCTCAAGTATGGCCAGTCCCCATAGAACATGTCTTGTTATTTATCTGTCACCATTCAAAAGCAGGTTTGGCCTCCTCTACAGTCGGCTCTTATCTATCAGCAATAAGTTATGTACATAAAATTAACTGTTGGCAAGACCCAACATCTTGTTTTATTGTCAAGAAATGCATTGGGGGATTAAAGAGATTAAAATCTTCTGCAAACATTAGAGCCCCTATTACATATGATTTATTGAATATGATACATGGAAACATTTCAAGCAATTATATATGTTACAACAAGTACGAGCAACTCTTGTTTAAAGCTGCATACTGCTAAGCATTTTTTGGCCTTTTTGGGGTAGGGGAATTGGTCTATACATCTGTGCAAATGGCACACAGGCCGTTGCTACTGTCAGATCTAAAGATAAAAGATGACTTGACAGAAATGAACATCAATTTAAAACATTAAAAAACAGATCAGTTTGGAAAATCTCTCACAATAATAATCCCTCAGATTAAAGTAAACAACATATGTGCAGTCCTTAACATGCAAGCTTTCCTTAAAATGCGTCAATGTTGCCCAAGTTATTTATTTATACATTACAATGGTTTACCCTTGACAAGGAACCAGTTTGGGGCTGATCTCCAGAAGTTTGTCATATCTCTAGGTTTGCCCCATACAATTTACAAGTGACACTCATTTAGGATAGGAAGTGCAACTACTTAAGCATTGAAAGATGTACCAACAAATACAATTAGCAAATTAGGGAGATGGAGATCGTAAGCCTTTAAAAGTGACGTTGGGAAAAAGTATGAGTCATAACTTAGAGTTACTCCCCTTTAGATAGTAAGGCTAAATTCAGCCAAATGTTTCAGACGTGTGGATAGTGGGCTCCTCTATAGTGTACTGGGCTCAACGAGGGGCAGTAAAGCTCATGGACCATCATTTGAAGCTGCGTCACAACGGCACTTACATTCGTTGGTCTGGGAACCGAGGGATGTCTTGGTATGAGCTGATTGCCGACATTAATGATCTGTTGGGCCTTAAACCACCTCCAGATTTATTAATACTTCATGCAGGAGGTAATGATTGTGTGTCTATACCAACTGACAAGTTATGTGCTCGCATAGAAAATGATATAAAATGGTTGCACAACACCTTGCCAGCGTGCACTATTGTTTGGTCTGATATATTGACCCGTAATAAGTATCGTGGCTGTAGCAACATACAGGCAATGGAAAGAAAAAGAAAGCGTGTGAACCGCGAAGGCCGAAAAGCGGCTTTGGATGTAGGTTGAAAAGTAATTCAACACACAGATATTGTGTACACTTGCGAGGGGTTATTTCGCGAAGACAAAGGTTATTTGACGGACATAGGCAACGCCATATTTTTGAATACCCTACAGGGGCTATAGTGAAATTTGGAAACAGCATACTTTTATTTTCGCTTTATTGGTGTGTAAAGCTAGCCCAATTTGGGGTACAGCCTCAATGGTGGGTTTTTTTAGGGATGACGAACCTGTATAGACAGGTCCGCGTGGAAAGACATGGCAGGCAGGTAGATTATTCTGATTAATTATGCCTTTTTTTGGTATTATTATGGTTTTGTGCTATATGTATTATTGGGCTGTGCACTGTTCCGCTAATA